CTCCTTTGCCCAGTTCCCCACCAGACTTGAGGGTACACAAGGGAGACACTCCCCATCTTGTTCCCCTGTCTTGACCACTTCGGAAGCATTTTTAAATTGATTCCAAGTCACAGAGAAAGGGGTAACGGGACTCAGGATTCTTGGGGAGATGGCCTCCTCCACCATGACTCCCCTTCCACCCACCAGGAGAGGGGGCCTGGGGGCTGGGATCACTGACCGATGCAGGATGAGCAGCAGGCACAGGAGGCCAATGGCGAAGGCAGAGCACAGGTAGGTGACCGCCAGGGGGCTGCGGCGCGGGTAGAACCCGTAGAAGAGAGGGGACCACTCCAGGTAGCCCTAGAGGAGGACGGAGAGGGGTCACCGGGCAAGGTGATGGGAAGGCGCTCCGAGGGCAGCTCCCGGGAGCCCAGAACTCACATCTCCCGAGAGCAAGTTGAAGAGCTGGCTGGAGAAGGTGGCCAGGCCCTGGTGGGTGGGGTTGTAGGTGCCGCACTCGGTGGCGTTGTTTCCGGGGGGCCCGGGAGGAGCCTCTCCCAGCCAGGTGGGCAGCAGCGTCAGGCACACCTTGAGCACTGAGGCCAGCACATTGAGAAGCAGCAGGAAGCGCAACAGCAAGAAGTAGGACTCGGTGCCGGCGCCATACTGGCCTGAAGGGGGCAGCAGAAAGGCGTCGGGCCCCAGTCGGCCCGGCCCGCTTCAGAGCCAGGTCTCCCTCCCTCCTCACACCCAGGGGGAGTCTGGCCACAGTCCAAGAAGCCTCCCGCAGCCCCACCGCACCCCCGATCTTGTTCAGCGTCCACGCCCAGGGCTTCAGGGTCTGCAGGCCTTCCCGAAGCTGCTGCTTGGACCGCCGAAGCAGCCGGGCCCAGTGGGTCGCCTTGGACCCCGCGACTCGAGCCTCTTGGTCCCTGGTGTATCTCTGCCTGAATGGGAAACAGCCAAACAGGAAGTGAAGGAAACCAGCCAGTGGAGAAACAACGTGCCACTGACAGGATCCGTCCGTCGGCCCGTCTGTCGGCCCGTCCGTCCGCCCGTCCGCCCGCTGGTCCGTCCGCCCGCCGGTCCGTCCGCCCGTCGGCTGCCCCTCCGCCAGTCCGCTGTCTGCGCTCCACCTGGACCCCAGGTAAGCTGGCAACACCTGAGGGCAGCGGGGAAGCAGGCTGCAGCTGGCTGTTAATAGCCAGCCAGGGCCAGGGCCCTGCTCTCTGGATCAAGCGCGCCAGGAGGCGCATGGGGCAGTTCGGGAAAGGCTTCCTGCGTGCAGGGTGGGACAGAGGCAGTGCAAGTTCCTGCTGCAACCTTGCGCGTCCTCCCAACCCCCAGCGCCTCGGCTTTCTCAGTACTTAGTGCCCTGCAAGGCTCCTGCTCGGCTCTGTAGGCCAGCTGCAAGGAAAGCATTGCAAACGGGCCAGTGTGACGCTGAGATTTGTAACAGGAAACACCCCCTTGGCCTGGGCCCGGGCTCGCGGCTCCTGCAAGCCT